TTGTCTTGGTCATGTCTATGGCGATTCTTGCACACTCCTTTGTTTTATTCGGCTGCATTTACTCACCAGCTGATCCTCACTCTGCTAGCACGTGACATCACAATGTTCCATAATATCCTTTTCAGTTGTCTGTTCCGTTCTCCAATCGTGGATTGGCACGCATCGATTAATTTTCTCAGCAGTCCTAAATAACTTGTTGTCAACTCATTGAAATATAAACCAAACTAATCAGTGTCAAAGTCTGAATGAGTGAACGTCCCACTCTATTTTTCCAAAACGATCAGCCTTACAAAGGTTACAATCTCAGGCGTAGCAGAGTAAACATGCAACTAGCCAATCGCTGCAGTTGTTGGCACGATCACGTGATAACCAGGGATGTGTCTCACGGTTAAAGTTGCCACTACTAAATATAATAGGTAAACAATCTATTTATACAATTCCTGTAATAAAGTTGTTGATTCTAAACAACAGTATACCAACGTGTGAACCGAATGTGCGAACGTGAAGTCGCTATTATAACATATTTATTACATCCAATGTAATGAACACGTAACCAACAACTATTCATGTTGGTTTATTCTTTCAACTTCCTGTAATCTAAGATGGGGTGGTAGGAGTTTAGGGAACCAAACACTTGCAAGGGTTTTGTGAAATATCAATGTGGACTCAAACTACTACTACTACTAGTAAGTATTCTATTTTTCTTCCTGTGTATATATTTTGGGTTTTTAACAGCGTTCTGCTGTACTTTTCGTTAATTTTTGTTTTGGTGTGTTGTTGTCAGTGGTCGCCAAGATGGCCGCCACTGAAAAGACGCCACGTATTGCACACCCTGTACATAGACTGACTCGCAACCATGCCACCAGATGCGAGAACGTGGATGATATTCCAGTGGAAACTTATGTTGAGGCAGTGTCCGAGGTGGTTGGTGATAAAATGATTGTTGCAGCGTCACGAATGAACAGATATGTGGTTGTCTTTTTGGGCGCTGTCTCGTGTGTTGATTTGGTTTCCCTTCAAGGCATTAACATGGGGGTGAATTGATAACTGTTGAGCCTTTGGTAAGGCCATCAACAAATCTTGTTCTATCCAATGTTCCCCCCTTGCTTCCCAATGATTGTATTGAAAAAGCCCTAGCCCCTCTTGGTCGAATCATGAGTGCTATCCCCACGATCCCACTTGGCTGTAAACGCCCTTGGCTTAGTCTTTTCCACGAAACGAAACGAAACCCGAACCCAAACCCTAACCCTAACTCGCATTTTTGTTTTCATTGGCCCAATAATATCTGAGAAAATTTCACACTGTGAAATACGGACGTGACGATGTTTGAGGTCGTTCAAAATCTAAGGATAGGGTTAGGGTTAGGGTTTCGTTTCGTTTCGTTTTGTTTTATTTTGTTTCATTTCGTTTCGTGGAAAAGACTAAGCCAACGCCCTTCACTAAAACACGCTCAATTGTTCAGAAGGCAAGTCTACTTATGGTTAAACGCCGATAAAATCAACGGTTTGCTACCTGTTACTTTTGAAGGACGTTTATACAATATTTATGTTTCGTCAGACAAATTACAATGTTTTCTATGTAAATCAAAAGGACATATTCGTAAGAATTGCCCACGCGCCAATGACAATGAAAACAATGTTATGCAAATTGACACGCATGCCAGTGAAGGTAATAACAATGGTACACCTGCAAACAATACTGATTCAACCAAAACAACGGATTACGAAACAGAATTCCCGGCAATCGATGATTCAAGTAACACTACGAGTGGTACTAAACTCCGCAAACGCCAGCGCTCACTGTCAAACGATGATAAAAAAGTAATGATGAAGTACAAACATGATACTGAAAAAGGTATTGATAAACAAATGAAAGATACCAACACCGTCAACATGTCCAATGTAAAATCCAAGGCATATAGTGACGTTTTACATAATGTTAATAATAATATTAATGATGCAAATAATACTGTTACAACTAATGAAAATATTTCAGATGATGTTCATAAATCTATAAATACTGTTGAAGAGAGGGTACTAACCCCTCCTTCGAACTCTGTTGCCACACAGGATGAGGCTAACACTGGTGAGTGGCTTCCTAGCTTCCCACCTACACCAGACTTGTTCAATTCACCTGCTTCTCCCATGTCATCTCCTATTCCAAGACCATCTCCAGTTTTCTTTTCTGGATCATCCGGTGTTTTTGTCACACCATCCACCCATCAGATTAATACTCGTGAATCTTTGGATGACACCGAATCTGTTGGATCTGACATATCTAATATATCAGACTTTTCTCAAGCT